GAGCAAAGGTTCGGAATGTAATCAAAATTTTCAGCACTTTCTGTCTTTAATATTCAATCATACTGGTATTTAGATAACAGATGAAATAAAACAATTTTTGGCTAATTTAAAATTAGCCGATTTACCATCATCTTTTTTTTTTAAAGCTGAGTGAGTCACTTTGCTCTCTCTGAGAATTTTTTTCAGTGGGTAGTAGAACGTGCTTTATGCGCAAAACATTATAAAACATGAACCGTATAATGTCCTTACAATTCACCCGTATCAATCAAAACCCTTATAGAAGAACTCGGGACTATTCATATTGTCTTTCTTAAACAAAGAGAGAGCACAGTGACCCACTCAGCTTTAAAATCGAGATTATCTATTTTTGCTAATAAACAAATAAACAGAAAGCAAAGTGTTGTTATATGGGGACACTTTGGGGTATACTTCCATTGGATTAACTCACTCTAAATCGAAAACCATACGTACGGATGTCTACTGTCCATTTCAAAATAGTATGCGCGTGAAAGAACGTTGAATATCTTCGGAGCGCAAATAGCTATCGAGATTGGGTTTGAAAACATAGGTTTTCGGCAATGTTTGTTCTCTGCTTCAGATTGATCCAAGGCCGGGAGACTAAGATTAGCAATACAGATAGTTTTTGACTCGGTCTGCTTTCCAATAAAATGACCACAACTCACTCAGTTCTCAACGGGCTGAGCTGAAATCTTCAGCACAGGCTAAGAAGACGTCTCTCTGCATGAACCAAATGTGAAAAACCAAACTTTCTTCCTGAAAAAACATTTGGATTTCTAGAGGACTTGAGAAAACCTATCGGGTTTTGAATGTAACCAACTGCTTTTGACACTGCTTGCAATCATGCAGAAAGACGTCTTCTTAGCCTGTGCTAAAAGTTTCAGCTCAGTCGGTTGAGAACTGAGTGAGTTGTGGTCATTTTATTGGAAAGCAGGCGGAGTGTACTGCTAATCTTAGTCTGCCGGTCTTGGATCAATCTGAAGCAGATAACAAACATTGCCACGAGATTCAGCATGGCCAAAAACCTATGTTTTCATGCGAATCTCAGCTCAGCAGAGTCACAAAGCATGCTTTTCGAGTGTCTCGGCCCGTGAGTCCAGTACCTGAACAGAAGAACAGAAAAATCTGCGACTTGCGTGGCTTTTTAGAGCATACACTTGGCTACCAAATGCATTAATTGGATCGAAAATTCACTAAAGCTTCCCAGATCTGTGGAGTGGTTTTCGAAAGATCTCACCGAAATACCACCTGAGACTCGATTAAGAACTTTGGTTTCTGTATATAGTTAGGTCCCCCGGTCATGGCTACATGATGATGAAAACTCGACCTCGATAGCTCTTTGCATTCTGGAGATATTCAGCGTTCTTTCACTCATATACTATTTTGAAATGGACAGTAGTATCTGTGGTAAAAAGTTGAACCTAACGAATAAAGTTTCAGTACGGCGAGTTCGTGTGCAACGAGACCCGAACAAGATTTAAATCAGAGGCATCATATTATGAAAGTCGAATTTTGTTCGTTTTGTTTGTCGAAAGAGTTTGTTCACATCTGTCACTTACTAAAGGCTTACATCACATTAAATCAAACGAATATTGAAACAATAAATTATGCGTCATTTACCTCGATGTTAGATGTTGGATATATCTGTATGCTTCTCATACGTCTTGCAAATGAACTGACAAACTTTCTTAAAAGTATTAACAGTGCCTTCAATCACAGAAAAAGAATAAATTCTCAACAAAATGTAAATACACAAAATATAGATCACAACATCGGGTTTCTTTTTATGGAGACTTCAGCCGCTTCTGCACCTTTCTGTGTTTCATGTTTGCATAATCCATCAGTCAAATTCAAAATGGAAGTTTTTTCATGGTCTTAGTGGCAAATAGATAAGTAAATTCTTATTATTTCTTTTATTATTATTTGTAAAAACATCTTTCCCTTCACGTATGTGAGCAACGAATGGATCAATGAATAGATAACTATTTAAAGAAAGTGTATTTTAACACCATATATTGTTTTTTCATCATAAAAAACTATTGACATAAGGAGAGAACGTTTTTCCATTAGGCTTTACTTTCCAACATTATTGACAGCTAGTAAACCGATTTGAACTAACCATTGAAACATTTCTTGATTTTCAGACAATTCACCAAAACCTATTGCGAAGAAAAATTATATGTAGACTAAAATATAAATTCATACAAAACAAGAACAACAAGTACGTACTGAGACAATTTTCGGCAACCTATAAAGAGAAAGACAAGAAAAGGTTGCGTACGGTGTCAGTCTATAAAGTAGAATAAGTCGTAAAGAAGCCTGATAAATATTTAAATCGAATTATCCTAGAAACAATGGCTGATGTTTCTTGGAAGTTCATACCTTTTTTTGTGTATCGACCATTTTTTACATGAATAATCCGATTTTAATATTCTAGAGCCTACTCATTACGATCATATAGAAAGGTGTGCCTGCGTACAATGAGATACTTTTACAGATAACACCTCTCTATACATTACTTGCGCTACTATATACTTGTATAATATAAATATTTCTCATCATCATGAGTCCTTTTGCTTACCAACATGTGTCCCGAACAGCATTTAACATGTTCGTCTTTACAGGCACTCAAGTTCGGTGTTTGAAATGTAGTAACGAAATAATAGATTTCCGATCTAAATAAGGTAAAATTTATTTCCATGGTTTTGCGTCTTTATTGATGATGAAGCTCACCTATAACGGGTAATATATTGACTACATCTCATTGTACCCATAAAACCACAATTAACATAATTAATCTGAAAATAATAAATAGAGCGTGATTACTTTGATTCTGCGATGTACGTTTAGGTGTAGAAGTACTAGTGTTTTTGTAGCAACAACATGAGTAGCTTTATCCATTTTTGTATGTGTGGTTGTTGTTATTGGTTGTTCATTAGTACAACACCAGTGTCTAAAACAAAAAAAACAATATCTCATTCTCACATCTTATCCTTATGCCTATCTTTAGCTGACAAAGTGTCTACTTACGAGTTGTCATTTCTACCTCGTGCGAATGAGCGTGCAACAGATGGTGGTAAATCGGCTAATTTTAAATTAGCCAAAAATTGTTTTATTTCATCTGTTATCTAAATACCAGTATGATTGAATATTAAAGACAGAAAGTGCTGAAAATTTTGATTACATTCCGAACCTTTGCTC